ATTATACATAATCAAGAGTTTCTATTACTATAGATTAGGACACCATAAAACAGTGATGGCCTTGATAATTATAGAGGGCCTCAAGTGCCACCCCAACTCTTCCAGAGTGTTGCAAAATAGCAGCAAAATTTGCATTAAGGGACATTGTTTTGAGTTAGGCTGTAATACCCCCACTAGACATGTGCACTGCCAAAAAAATTGTTTAGTTTCGTTTCGTTTTAAATTCGGATTTGTGTTATTTCGTTTTTCGGGATTTGGGTGTGAAAGTCAATTTGGATTCGGAATTCGGATTCGGACGAAATTCGGTAGCGGTAGTTCGAACGTTCGTTTCGTTTTCGGTTCATATTCGTTTCTTATTCGTTTCGTTCGTTCGTTTGCAGCAAAGTGACATTTGAGGGGGAAAAAATGTTTTTCTCCTTCTCTAATGTCACTTTGCTCCAACGAACGAAAAGAAGAAGAAACGAATACGAACCGAAAACGAAACAAACGTTCGAACTACCGCTACCGAATTTCGGAAATGGAAATTCGGATTCGTTTGCATTCGTTATGTCTGTAATTCGGATACATCCGAATGTCCGAATTTCCGAAAATTCATCCGAATTTCGATTCGGAGCGAAACGAATCGCACATGTCTAACCCCCACCATTAGTGTCAGTGGAAGCAATAATAACACCAAGCATTGTGGTCACTGATTGCAATAATAACCCCCAGCTTTGGCATCAGTGACCCTAACAATAACCTCCAGCACTTGTGTCTGTGACCGCAACAATAACCGCCAGCATTGGTATCAGTGACTATGATAATAACCTCCAGCATTGGTGTCAGTGACCGCAAAAATAACCGCCAGCATTGGTATCAGTGACTCTGATAATAACCTCCAGCATTGGTGTCAGTGACCGCAAAAATAACCGCCAGCATTGGTATCAGTGACTCTGATAATAACCTCCAGCATTGGTTTCAGTGACCGCAACAATAACCGCCAGCATTGGTGTCAGTCAACACAAACAAAGTAAAATGCAACATTCCTGCACTTGTGATCAGTGGCAGTGCTGTTAACCCCTCTCCTCCTGCACTGGTGTTCAGTAGCAGCACTTTTAAAACCCCCCATCTGCTGAGCTCCCACAGGTGGGCAACAGGTGGCAGACCCAGCCCAGGATGTGGCAGGCTGCACACAGAGAGCCAGCCGACCGCATGATAGGCACCACTAGCACAAACGATACATAGGGTATATTGGTGCCATCTAGTGGCACTACCTGTAATTTATTCCTGCACAGAAACACAGCTCAGAGTGTTAATTAATTAAAGGAGAACTATGGGGTTAAGGCTTTTCCCCATAGTTCTCTTTAGGGTAACGGGAGGACACAAACTAGCATCCTCCCGTCACCCTAGGCTCAGTATATCACATTAGGCAACATCAGCAGAACTTATGAATTCTGTAGGTAACTTTGTTATATACATTTTTATTATAGCACCTTCATATTTTAAACAATACTTATACTGCATTAATCATATTTATTTTACATACATTTGGAACAATGCATAAAGGCTGCAGCGGGGAAATAAGATTTTTCACTGTTGTTTTTTTTAAAGAATTTTGTATACAATTGAAAGTACTGTACTGTGCTGTACTGTTATTTTGTATTTATTTGTAGTATTTTTCAGAAACCTGATCATGGTTATTTCAATATATATTGTAGGATTTATGATTAGGGTAAAAGTAATTTGATAATATTTAGTAATTTATTGAAGTCTATTACCTTTGAAAGGGATTGGATTTGGATTTGGAATGCTGTAATGCAGGTATGGATTAAGTAGCAATTACAAGCTGCTAGAAGCAGGGAGCCACAGCATGCATTTAGCTAAACCCTGGCAGTCACCCCTTACCTGTGATACCAAACAGCCAAATATAAAGCAGGATGTTCTTCAGCAAGCGATATCTACTTTTTTTGCTCATTCCTGGTCTAGAGACCTTTGTCCTTTATAGTATAGCTATCAGCTAATTGCAGGTTGTGGTCTCCACTGATTTCAAGAGTGCATTGCAATATAGAAAAAATACTTATGGCTCTTGGCAGTATAGTATCATTTACTTTTCAAAGTGAACATACTGCCTCTAAAATCAACCACACTGACTCAAGCTAGGGTATGAAAACTTTGTCTTTGAACTCTAACTTCAGGTATGGAGTAAGAACAATAGGCACACACACCAGCTTAGGGTAAACAAAGCCATAGTTACACTGGTCTGTTATGGGAAAAGGCAAAGGTAATAGGTTACTTTGGTTGCTATCCCTGGATATATTAAAACAAAAAAAACAAAACAAAAACAAATATCCAGTTGGAGACTTCATCAGGGATAGATACAAATGGTTCAGCCCCCCCTGGTAAAGCTGTGCAGAAATAGTCACATAACTATATAAATGAGTAACATAAAAAATTCTCACAGGCAATGTGTGGCTTGAATTTTAATGAGTGCTCTATTTAACATTTCAGCTATTTTACACAATAATTAAAGAAATGAAAATATATGAGTGGAATATAAATAAATATGCTGTCTCCTGATTTTCTGTAAATGCTTACCTATAATAATAAAGTATATGTGTTGTCATAAGTGTCCTGAGCATCAAAAAATAATGCTATAATAAATAAAGCTATTTATTTAATACAGTAAGTAGAATGATAACACAGGTTAGGTAATATTAAATATGAAATATCAACATTTCTTTTTTTAACCACTGTAATAAAAAAAAAATCTATGTCATACAATAAATAGGAAAAAAATCAATTGGGTAGACCAATGAGTTTGGGGTTTTTTTTGGCTAGTATTTAGTCAGGTGACCTGAACAGAACAGTTCAGTATAGAAACCATGGGCTTCTTGTGTGCGTCTGCCTTTAAGAAGGATTGGGCTACCTCCAGGGTATAACTGCTCTCAATTTATCTATTGCTATATACTGTTTATGTCCCTAGAAGGGAGCCCTATTAGCCTGGAGTTAGGAACCATACTTTGCAGAGATGTCTTGGTGGGAAAATGTGGCTTCAAATATATTTAGAAATATATGCAGCAAAAACATCTGTTTTTAGCACAAATTGTAGAGACGGTTACAGTTCCATATTGTGCTAAATAGCTGGTAAGTGTGTTAGGGATTTTTTTGTCTTGTGTTTGTTTTTGTCTTGAGCTGCTTTGCTATATTACAGTGTATTTCCACTTTTGCAGTCAAATTTGAAAAAAAAAACCCTACTATGGGTGGAATTTATCAGAACTGGAGCAGGCAGAATCTGGTGCAGTTTCCCATGCTAACCAATCAGTATCTCTCTTTCATTTTCAAATCTTAACTGAACAAACTGGAGAGAAGCTGATTGGTTGCCATGTGCAACTGCTCCAGATTCTGTTTGCTGCAGTTTTGATAAATTCCCCCCTTTTATGTGTCCCTATTTACATAACATACCTAAAAATAAAAACTAACCTCTGGCTCTCCCCATAGAAAGATTAGGATGAGGCTGCTTTCCAAAGATCCTATAAACCGGGGGTAAGCAAACTCCAGCTCTCCATCTGTTGTTAAACTAAAAATCCCATTAGGCATTGCAAGACTCTGACAGTGACAGGCAGGACTCACAGAGGTAGAAGCATTGTGGGATTTATAGTTTCACCACAGCTGCATGGTCAGAGTTTGCCTACCCGTGTTGTATGCAATACTCTCTTTTCACCATCTTCTTCCTGTCAGTAACACATCCAAATTAATTATTTTTATCTGCAGTCTCAACAGGAAACCAGCAAATAGGAGCAAGAGGTCATGGGCTTAGACAACAGGAACCAGGAAGAAATAACGGGAAAATTGTATACTTACCTATCGGAAATTTTCCTTTCCTGACGCCAATACATGGCAGCATATGAATGGGTTTAGCTCCGCCCCTCACCCAATTACAGGACCAGTTATACTATAAATGAAAACACGCCTCCCAAGGCCACCATTCTTATAACAAGTACTCAATGCGAAAGCCATGGGAGGGTCCCGTATGCTGCCATATATTGGCATCAGGGCAGGAAAATTACAGATAGGTAAGAATACAATCTTCCATTTTCCTGACACCAACATGGTAGCATATGAATGGGACATTCCAAGCAAAAACAAGGGAGGGGAAAGTTGAGATATTTATCTATGTACACAATTGTTAAACACATTCAGAACCAAACTTCACCATGGACAAGACTCCTGGATAGACCCTGTAATGGGACAAGAATATATACCAGGTTACTGCCTTTAAGTATAACTCTGGAGGTACATCACTAAATCTGTCCATAAGAATGAAATCCTTCAGTAGAGCGAACCCAGAGATGGATCTGTGGCTCCATCTGCTTGACCAGCCACAATGCATGTGACCTAGTGGATGCAGAGAGCCCCTTTCTGATACCGCCAGAAAGATGAACAGATCGACCTGAAAGAAGGTGACCTCAATGTACTTTCCCAGCATTGCAGCTACACTTAAGGCATGAGCTGAAACAAAGCTTTGTTCTTGAATGGTGGCCTTGGGAGGCATGTTTTAATTTATAGCATAACTGGTCCTGTGATTGGGTGAGGGGAAGAGCTAAACCCATTCGTATGCTGCCATGTTGCTGTCAGGAAATAAGAATCTCTGGAATCCCCCATAAGGAACTAGCCAACAGTCTTACCTTGCCTAATTGTATGAATACCAACATCTCCTAAGTACTTGTTTATAAAAGAAACAGATTGAAATATCAGTAACAAGGTTTTCAGGACTGAACATCATAACCTGTGGGTTCACATTGGAACCATTATACCTGCACACCCTCTGCTGGATTTGTGGTGCCATGAAAGGTATATAACTCCACAGGGCTGAGACTTATGATGCATTTGCACTGGGTGATGAAATCCAAATCAACAAACTATAAGACTATCATAAAAAGTGGCAGCTATAATCTCTATAATATTCACTGCTATAATGATTCATTACAACAGCCATAAACATTCTAAAAAAGTGGAAACCTTTTCTTGTACATTGTAGTAGGTATACAAATTGTTCATATGCTTGATGTATGTAACTTAACCTGAGGGTCCTTTTAGTGGTTAATCTGACAGTGTTGGAATTTTTCATTGTCCATTGGAACTCGGCAGTAAAAGGGTAGAGCAAGTTTTTAATCTAGTATCCAGTATCCCATAGCATAGTAGTTGTATAGTACAGTTGTGGCATGATATGTTAGCATTAGATAGCGGTAACTTGGCTTTCCAATGGAGATACCAGCTTTGGCTTTTGATGGTCCACTGGTGATTGTAATTTGCACTCTCGGCAAAACTTTGCAGTTGGATTTTAGTTGTGAGTGTAGCTTCTCACCAAGCAGCATAGGGGTAATTATGTAGCTCTTTATCCAGTATAGCTCATAAATTTGTCAAACAAAAACACATTATAGTCATTTATCTTTAAAGTAAACAGTCTTGCTTTGGAGAGAAGGATAGCTTTAGTTGAATTTTAATATGGGATGCCTGTTGATGACTGGGCTTTGTAGAGAGGAAAGGAGACTTCATGTTGAACTGTGCCATGATTTTCTGAAACCTTTCTGACTCTGTCGAGGATCGCTGGAAGAGATTAAAAAAAAGATTTATTATGAGCTTCAAAGCAAACTGTGCTTTGTCTGGTATATTCTGGACCCACTTGTAGAGTTGGCTCGAGCCCTCGTTAAATTAGTTGAGTAGGATACGGTGTCAATTCGCTTTTCTCTATCTTTTCAGCATGGTTTTTGCCCCCTTTTAGGCATACTGTCCTAAGACGGCCAAGGCACACTTCAGGCCATGGGGTTTAGGGAGTCACTCATTGTCACTCATTTTATGGTCAGGCTTGGACCACATGTATGAAGGCTGGCCTGGATTTGTGGGAGGAGACTGGCCTTTAAGACGGCACGGCTTACCGTGCACTCACGTCGGCGGGTTCCGGGCGTCCCCTCCCGCGTCTTACCTTCTTTTCCATTTCAGATCACTGGGTATGCCCCCTTTTAGGCATACTGTCCGAAGACGGCCAAGGCACACTTCAGACCATAGGGTTTAGGGAGTCACTCATTTAATGGTCAGGCTCAGACCACAAACACATTTATAAAATATATTTGAGGAATCTGTTTGACTTTTTAAAGTGATTTGGATTTCTATCCATCCAGTCTAGAGATTTACAGGGTTATTCCCAAAGGTGCCGAAAGCAGCCGAGTGACTAACCGAGCTGAAGTGAAGTGAGCCAAACAATGTTCGGCTATTTGCTCCGGCTCAGTACGGCTGATTTCGGCTACGTTCGGCTATTTGCTCGGGCTCAATACGGCTGATTTCGGCTACGTTCAGCTATTTGCTCCGGCTCAGTACCGCTGATTTCGGCTACGTTCGGCTATTTGCTCCAGCTCAGTGCGGCTGATTTCAGCCGTACATCGGCTGCCTTCAGCCAGCCGAACATGCTCCCTTCGGCAGGCCGTTCTCCCCGCTTCGGCTGTCACTTCGGCTCAGTCGTGCCAAAGCATATGCCTGCAGCTCGGCTGCCTTTGGCTGCTGTACAGGCTATTTTGAATAGCCCGTACAGTAGCCCTTCGGTTTGACTGAACCAAAGGGTTTCGGCGGCTGAAGAGACCCGAAGGATCAGTCGAAGCTACGGCTGGATCCTTCGGCTCTTTAGTGAATAACCCCCTTAACATCCCAGCCAGATTAGTGACCTGCTTTTTCTCCACTACAGTGAAGCACGGCAACTAGGTCACCTCCCTATCCTCCAGCCTGTAACTGGACAATAAGGGACCAGCAGAAGATTTATGAGGTCATCTTTCACTTCTTTCTGTCAGCACATTCATTTTTTTTATACTTCAATGAAAATGCTGATGCTTCCTAATTGTACTTACCGTAGCTGTATTTACTACTTTAAAAGAAAACACATAGTGGCATTGAATAATGTTTCTATATCTGCCTGGAGTACAGTGATAAATGTGGCTGTTTTGGAATTATTACTGCCACAAACATATATAGTAGTGGAGCTTAAATGGTAAACAAGGACTGCGTGCACGGCCCTCCAGTGATACGTTTGTGGCTCACATGCCTAGAGTAAAATACATTCATTGTGAACCATTTTTACTTTTCCCCATCATCCATGGATTTATGGGAGGGTAGGGATGAGAATGTAATCACAACCTACATTTTCAAATGATGCTACACTTCTGTGCAGTCTCCCTTACCATATAAGTGCCTAGAAAGCTTCAAGAAGCTGGAATTACAAGATGGTAACAGTTCTGATATCTTCTCTCCCCCTGATCCTGAGCTTGATGTCCTCAAGGACTGGAAATTTCATCCCAAAGGTTCAACATGCCCTTAATTACTAGCCGAACTAAGCTCATTTGAGGCTTTTGTTTGTGCTCTGTAAACAAATGATGAAATATAAAAAATAAAACATTTCATTATGTCTCTTCTGTTATCACTTACTTACTGTGTTGTCTATCAGAAGAACACTGACATGCACTATTTGCATGTAAACTAATCACATTATACACTATATGGGCAAAAGTATGTGAACATCCCTTTACATGACTGAGTTCAGATGTTTCCAATGATGGGTACAGTTTAAACTACAGCATACAAAGACATTTGTATAAAATGGTACACGTCCAACCTTGTGGAAACAGTTTGAGAAAGACCCTTTTTGCCAAAAAATAGTGCATGCACCTTACTGAAACTCAAGGTATTGTGGTACCATGCGTTCTGGTGCGGGCAATCACACTGCGGGAGGCTAGCGCGTCTGCAGTGCCATTGAAATGAATGGCACCACCAAGTCCCCTCCCACTCCAGAACAGGGGAGACTTTGTTTATGCAATCCAGTGTGTTCATCCAACGGGACTGTGCGATGAACGCACTGAATGTTGTGAACGAGCCCTTAGCGCATTTTCACAAACAACTAAAACTCAAATGCTCACAATTATACAACTAACAGTAAGAAATGTCAGCTTAAAAAAAAACCAAAACACTATTTCATACAATTGTTACCATTAGAAATACTGACAAGTCAGTGAATTTGACAGGTGCATGTTAGTGGTATGTAAATAGTACCTGGAAGGTAAGGTGTCTGTTCTGCCCATTTTGTTATGTTCTTTAAAGATTTATGGGGGAAAGTTTTCCAAACTGGAGCTGACAGAACCTGGAGCAGTTGCCCATGGCAACCAATCAGCTTCAATCTAGAGCATGTTCAGTTAAGCTTTAAAAAATTAAAAGACAGAAGCTGATTGGTTGCCATGGGCAACTGCTTCAGATTCTGTCTTCTCCAGTTTTTATACATTTCCCCCTATGTATTATAGTGTAGACAGAGCTGGATCATCCACAAGGCATTCTAGGCAGGAGTCTAGAACCCAGTGGATGTCCAGCATGCCCAGCTACAACCTTCATGCTCCTACAGTAAACCAGGGAGATGTCGGTGAAAGCTGTGCACCTGCCTATTTGCTTCACAAAGGTGACTGCACTGGTATGCAGTTGTTGTCTGATGGGGCCATGCCAGTACAGATAATGAACATGGGGCAGCTTTCCTACACCTATGACAAACAAAGGGATTGGAGGCAAAGCTGCTCTCTTGTCTAGGGCCCCATTCTACCTTAAAAAGTAGGTCTGTGCACTACCCAAGTGTACTCCCAAACCTCCCTCTCACCTTCTAGAGCATGTCCCATTATTATTTTTTTTAATACCTTGTTCATACTACCTCTTCATCAACACCAGGCTTGTAAAATCCTTGCAAGGGCAGCTACTGGGAACTCAGGACCTCCGGGCGCAAGCAATCCCCCCAAAGCTACATCTTTAATGAGCGCTTTCCCTACACTCAGTGTGTGAGCAGGTTCTTGGGAGTCAAGGCAGCAAAATTCTTCTGCTAGTAAAGAAAATCATGTATGCATGTGGGGAGGTATAGAAAGGGGTTGTAGCCTGCAGAGGAGAACTCAGGCTGGATTGACAACACTGCTTGGGGTTTCACAGAGGCACTGTTGTCAGCTTAAGCAGGAAGTTAGGTGCACACTGGATTCCTGACAGATATCCACGTATTTTCAGCATTTCTAATGTGATAAAACATGGGGGAATGTGTATATATTGCAGACATGTACTGAATGTTTTTTTCCCCTTAATTCCCAGATATAAACTTTCATTTGTCTCTTAGTGTAGATCGGAATGTGAATGTGAGAATCATAAATCTCTGTGGGAAATAATTAACCCGCAAATTCTGGTTTGCAGCATAGCCCATGCTTGTTGGCAGATAGCTGGAGACAAAACTGGAATTACCTGTTGTAGGCTTGCAATTAAGGAAACATTATTAAAACCTTCATTCATTCACAGTACAAAGATAAGAGAGCAATGTGTTACAAGTACATGTATACCTGACTCTGATCTCTGTGACGTGTCCTGTGTGGTGCAGTCAGGGTTGGAGGAGCAGGTACGGCACTGTAGAAAGACGTTCTGACATTTACAAATCTCCTGAACCTCATCCTGCTCTGAATAAATCTGCAAAAAAAACATGCATTTTTATATTGTGCATTGTCTCAAATCAGATCTATCACACGGACATAAAACTTGGGACATGTTTGCAGTACTGTTGAAATCGCCAATATGATACCCATCCGTCAATGAAACATGAGTGAAGATTTATTCTGAGCCTCGAAAAGCTCAGACACGTTTTCTACAACAGCTGTAAGCCTGGGGCTTCAGGGGTGATTAACCCCTTCATGACTGAGGCCCTTTTTTCATTTTTTGCGCCCATGTTATATTCAACATTTTAGGCCTGAAAATGACGTAAAACCCCCCAACATTATATATTTTCTGAATGCCAAGACCCTATAGAATAAAATGGTGGTAGTTGAAAATTTTTATGTTGCGCAATATTAGCGCAACTCCTTATTAAACCCCAAAATTTAGTGACAAATTGAATTAAATGCCCCAAAACACAACAAATTACCCATTTTTTTAATGAAATATAAAAGATGAGGTTACAACGAGTAAAACGATACCCAACATGCCCAGTTTACAGATTGCGTGCGACCGTGAAACGGCGAAAAACTGCAGTACCCCAAAAAGTCAATAAAAGACTGGGGCGGCCCCTTCTTCGGGACGCAGAAGCGATCTGGCGACAGGTAAGTCGCCAGGATCGCTTCTGTTGTAAAGCCGACAGTCGGCTCTACAAGTTTAAACAGAGTCCCGGCGGCAAAAGTCGCCGGGAGTCTGTTTAAACAGCCCCGATGCTGGCGACGTACACTGTACGTCGTCAGTCACGAAGGGGTTAAAACACTTATTGGCAGCCATCTCATTTGGCAGAAATAAACCTTCTTTGGCAGATAATACAAATCCCATTCCTGTATATAATCTGTGTATTTAGTAATTTGCCTGGAGTTCAGCATTAACATAAACGGAAACATTCCTAATGAAATTTAATAAAAGTCATGCCCCGAAATGCAAATGTGTAAATGTCTAAATCCACAGATCACCCAGTATTAAGGTCCCCACACACCTTACGATAATCGTACGATAATCGCGGGAAATCCCACGATCGTACGATTATCGTAAGGTGTGTGGAAGCCGTGCGACCTCTACTACTGTAAGGTCGCATGACTTTAAACTTACGGACATGTTCGAAAACCCGCCGAGCATCGTACGATGTTCGGCGGGTTTGTGGCATGTCCGTACGATAAAAGCCGTACGGGCCGATGTGCGCAAGTGCACACTGCCCGTTCAGGGGGCGTGGCTTGCGATCATCGCAAGTACGATCTGCCTATGCAAGATAGGCAGATCGTACGTTTTTGTAAGTACCTTACAACCATCGCAAGACAACAGTCTTGCGATGGTTGTAAGGTGTGTACCCAACCTTACACGTGTAGCGTAATTAAAGCGGACCTTTACCCTTATCTTTAAAATAACAACAAACACACATTTAGAAACGTTTAGTAATGACAATCTACAATCACATACTTCTATATAAGCCGGCTTTTTATTCTTTGTATACCTTATTTCTCTCTTCTTCCCCAGTCTTCTGACAGTGGCCATGTTTACTAAATCTCCTTTTACTTCTTGGATTTCTGGCACATGTGACTAGACATGTACAAGGACATGTGACCATGCGCATCATCTCAGGGAAGGAAAATGCCTTTCCCTGATAACAGCATTTTATACCTGACAATGTCTATGTTATTATTAATCATCATTGGTAGAATTTTAGTTTTGAGTGTAAAGGTCCGCTTTAACTTAGTATCAATAATACCTTCATATGCTATAAAACACTTAAAAACTGAATGAAAACAGTATTGCATAGTATAGCTTCAAACCAATCAAGATAGAAAATAATAAACAACACTAAATTAAGTAAAGCAGAGCATTCAGGCTGCTGATGCTGCTGCTATTGGCTCAGATGCTTCCAGAGGTGGGTGAGTTATACAGCAAAGGAGGGGCTAGTATTAGGACTTTGTTTAGGGGTTAGGTTAAAGCTGAAAACTCAATCAGATATATATATTTTTAAAAAAACAACACATAATAACACAGTTGTGGGAAAGATAGGGCATCACGAGGGGCCAATCAAGCATGCAGTAAGCGCATGTGCTGACATGGAACATGTTGATTGGAGGAAAAAAAGAGTGAGCAAAAGAGTGATGTTTATCAGTCTGCTGCTGCTCTTTCACTGCCCACAGGGACGGAGGTAGGAAGGGAGGTGACTCCACTGTATTCCTAAATGCAGTACAGAAAAGTTAGATTACCAACTTGGCTGTGCTGCCTAGAAGGGCTGTGTAAATCTCAGGACTCAAAAGACATACAAATCTTTTGTAAAACAGATCCCATATATGTATTCCATCTGTGTATTTAGCTGGAATTCAGCCTATTAGGATCCAAAGGGTTAAAGTATATTTCCACTTTTGCAGACAGGTTTAAGTGCCCCACCATATGTCTTTTATGTGTTCACATTCACACTGTATACCGGAAAGAAAATGTTTTTGAAATATTTCTTACTGTTCTAGCTGTGTGTTTGGAGCAGATTATACATAGGACACTACAGGCAGCTTCTAGTGGTTAGACTAGATGGCAGTGCACAGATAAGGGACAGACTGAGGGACAGATTTATTAAAGCGCATTAACATACAATGCCTTGAGATCTTGAACCCTTTGTTATGACAGATAGTCCTGCTCATCTAGTTTACAAGTGATGGGGAAATCTGCCACAACGGTACTGACAGGGCTAATTATGGCAAACAAAACTCCCCCATCCCCCTCAAATAGTGAGAACTAAGCTTTATAGTATTTCCCTTTACTTCTCACCCAGGCAGCTACATAAAAGTGGAGGGGCTGCCAGGACAATTAGACAGAAGAAAAGAAGGCTATGACGTGTAAGAAGGTAAGGGGCTTGACTCTTCCTGGAATTGACTCTTCCTGAAGAAGTCAAACTTTCTATTAAATTCAAAGGCACATGACAAGTGATTAAAAAAAAACTTTATGGAAAGGAAACACACAGCAAGTAAGCATTTAAATGTATTTTTCTATTTAAGGCCGAACTTCATTTTTATATTAAAAATAAAACAATAATTATTATGCAGACCTCCCAAGCATTGTAAACTATCCATATGAAACATAGTGGTTGTCATTGAAGGTGCCCTTTCTAGACTCCTACAACTATATTTCACTATCACTTGTTTGCCTGCTTTGTCTATCCCTTTAGACCAGGGGTCTCAAACTCAATTTCCTCAGTAGCCACTTGACAAATGTGTTTCTCCCATGGGGGGCGCTTGCCAAGTTTAATACTTTAAAATAAAATGTAACTATATCCGGTATGGTACAACGGACTCCAATACACACAATAAGGCCCCATTCATATCTGTAAGTTTAGGTGTGATCAGGGATTCCTGCAGCAGTTCCTGACTAGTGAGCTAGCCGAGGGCCACAAAGTACCGGCTCGCGGGCTGCAATTGACCCGCGGGCCGGTACTTTCAAACCACTGCCTTAGACAGATAGGTAACTCCCTTTACCAAGATATAACCTTAGAGTGGAAAGGGTTCCATTGACCCTGCTTAGAGGAAGCCACCTTGTTTTGTTCTGTTATTTGCCATCCATTTCTATTTTATATTTGTGTTTATGATTTAGAAGATGAACATCCATGTTTCTTGACATGCTACTTTCAATATGGTACTTTTTGTATCTCATGTTTGTTTGGTTTATTGTGTTATAAAATCTTTAAATAAAGAATACATACAAAAATGTATAAAACAATAAATAGTCCAGGCCTTTTTTAAAACAAAAAAGTAGCCACATGAATGCCATAGTATCTCATAATATACCAGAGGAAGGAGAAAAGTGTATTTCTCAAGAAATCCCTGCATGACAGTAGCTCTGCTCAGACTGTAGCTTAATGTTTTATCCATTTCAGATATTACAATTATTTATATTAATCGTGTTAAATAGATCCCAAGAAAAGGAGCAATTACCTGATTGTTTTCCTTAGAACAGGGGTCTCTGAAGAGGTGGTGACAGCCCTGACAGCACAATCCTGTGGACAAATGTGTTTCAGCTCTACAGTAGATCTCTGATCTCTGCAAACAAACATAAAGATCAGTGTGTACACATCTTGGTACCTCAAGGCTCAAATTGCAGGCTCCTTGGGAGAATTAGATCTACTCCGTAACCCATGTTTAAAAATGTTTTTTGTTTTGTTTTTTTGAGGTTTAAAGGGGTTCTAAAGTCCCAGCATACACTATCCTGTTATATCAGCATTGTAATAGAAATACATTCTATATTTGTTTTTGATGCAATCAAAGCTTACTTAAAGAAATCCTTTATGCAGTGAGTGCTATCTTCCATCTGCCCATCACTTTCAACAACTTTCTGAAGACTACAGAGCCCATAATGCATTGCTTCCAGCAAGTAATGATAATGTTACATTGTTAAGACATGGGTTGTTGTTCAGAAGGCAGTGGTTTTGGGTAACTTTGTTGCTTGTTTTTACATTTTATTAGTCACTTGAGTCCCGGGCACTCATTTAAAATGGGGTAGGGACAACAGTTATTTGTCCCAGCAGTTTAAAACAGCACCTGGACTCCACAGCTCCTATGGGCCCCTGATGGTACTAACGCTGGAACCGACAGCTGTCAGTGACAGCCGGGACCAAGCGCTAAGCCCAGGAGCTGAAACAATCATCTCCTGGACCACCAATCTTTATACTCAGCACTCCATTAGCAGATCACTGTAAACATAATACTTCTGCAAGTGAGAGCATTTCTTCCTAGACTGGTCTTTATCTTTACCATTCAGCTACATTAAATAAAATGTTCACTGCCATGATATTATTTTAATTGGCAGACTTTGATGAGTATATTTTGTGGTAAACTTATGGGGCGCACAAATAACATGAACAATGCACTGGGGAAGATTCTATATTTTTTTACTATTAATTCCCAATAAAAAACAAGGAAATAAAAATATATGTATCCAAATTTGCTACCAAATTAAAGCCATATTGGTCAGGGTAGACTACAAATGCTAAATAGTATAATGTTTGGAACCAAGACATGAAATAAAAAATAAAATAGAAGAACATATCCTTTGGAACTCAAGGAGATTTACAAAGAAAAAGGCCAGAGACTCAAGTGGTTAAACTGTTTGACATTTTTTAATCTTTTTAAAGTGTACGTGAAGGCAAAACTTTCCGTTTTTTATTTTGGATAGAGTAGGAAAGGATTAGACCTTTTGTCAAGGTTTTATTTTGGTCTCTGCCACTCACTGGGGAGATTTAAACCAATTTTGTGAAAACACAAGATGACCTCACAATAGGCTCCTCATCCAGTCAGAGAATGCCTTGTATTCATTTATAAAAATACTAGGTATTTGCTTACTGGCCACTGTGATGAGTGAGGCCCCCCCCATCTGGTTTTTAGAGCAGAGAGGAAGACACTCAGCACACCAGCATATAGGACCTAGAAGAACGCTGTAAAGCACTGAAGTAGTTGTATACTTACATATGGGCCCAGCTGAACTAATGTAAGTATACATCAATATTTATACCTGGTTCCATTTTAAAGCTCTGTACATAACTGACTTAGTTAGGTAGCACTGTGTTACTACACAGACATCACTGTAAAATATTCTAGAAATCTAAGACAATAACTATGATATAGTCTAGAACCTTCATGTGTTATCACAGATAGAATAACCATAGAGAAGAATGCTGCTTGTATATATTAATACTAAATTGGTGAAATTTGGGCCCCTTTGTTGGGCAAGTTTTACCAAACATTCACACTGCAGGCAGAAGTCCTCATCGGCAACATAAATGGAGCCATTGGTGTTGTTGAGACCATTTAAAGAGCATTCTGAAGGAAGAAAGAAACAAAAAAAAATAGATTTAAAGCAAGGTCTATCCATAAAATGATTCTGCAATATGCTATGTATGGAATGCAGTTTTAGAACAATTTTCAGCATTTTGATTTGAACCTCTTCATGTATAAAGCTTGTGTGATATAGCAAGCCCGGCCATAAATAAAAAGATTTCCTGAGCTATAACATTAATCAGACTTTTGCCGGGCGAACCTGATAGTAGAATGATCCAATATGAAACACAATGGCGCATCTGCTATGCAAAATTAGTAGACATTTAAAGTAGGGATGCAGCGATAACCTCTTTTCGGTATCGAGTACCTATATTTTGCTGTCGGTACTCGCCGATACCGAATACCAATACCGCTGCTTCCACTGCCATGGAGCCGTCTTCTCTGGCAATCAGGAAGCTGTTCAACCGCCTCGATGCTGATTGGCCAGGAAGCCGGCTTCCCAGCCAATCGGCAAGGAGACGGCTTCCTGGCCAATCATGAAGCCGGCTCCATGTTCCCCTACGGCACTGCCGGTCAGAGGAAATCTTCCGGTATCGGGGAAGGTGTCTGAGCATTTGAGTACACCCAAATACTTGGTCTCGGCACCGATATCGATACTAGTATTGGTGCATCCCTAATTTAAAGGCTCAAGAAATTTGTTTTGTTTCGGTTCTATACATTTTTTTTTTCTTCAGATTTTGGATCCAAATTTGGAAAGTAGTCGCATGCCCGTAACCCCCTGGCAAAGCTCCCTGTCCCCATGTTGATGAGTACAAAAGCCACTTCTCCAGAACCCTGGCACGGTGGCTGTGGGGGTCTGTGGGCAGGGTGGCTTGTCTGATTATGGCTTATCTTTCATAAAGGGGGCACCAACATTTTCCCCAAAATGGCCAAGCACTGCTTGTTATGGGAATTATACATGAGCTTAGGAGACAGAGGTCAGTCTAGCTGATGGAATGTATGCCTTTTGCTTCCTCTTGGCCCTGTTCACACTTGCGGCATGTGTAAACACGTGTTGCGATCAAGTGTGTTTTGCCGTGTGTCCACACAGGGCATCCCATTCATTTGGGTCTGCCCTGCACAAGACAAATATAGCAACGAAGCTTACACAGCAGTTTCAGCTGCAATCTTCATGTGATTTTTTGACCATGCGTTTGTTGTACGTCAACTCACAGGGAAAGATGAGCATTTTAACTGCCGCGTTTGGGGTGCCATTAACAGGCAATGGTGCAGCGAGCATGCCACATGTTTGTCCACATTGCATGAGCATGCAGCAACACACACAATTTAGCATGTTTTCAGGCACACATCAAAGGGTAAAAGGGAGCTTAGAGAGCAATCTGGTTCTTATCAACAGCCAAAACATCATTACCATTCTGAGCTTCAGTATATGGACATATGCGATTAATGCCCAAAAATGGTCTCTAATATCTAACACATTAGCTAGTCTTAAAATACTAAAAATGTTCTTCTGGACTTGAAAAAACAGGTCTTCCCTTTCTCAAGTTTATCATACAATGGGATTCTACCCTGCAAATCATTGACTGGTGTTATAGTGCTAACCTCAGCCTGCACCACACAAACCCACAAGAATTTGTCTTTTATTTGTATCCTCGGATTCCCGGCTCATGCTGCTCCAAAGCCAAAAAGAATATTTTTTTAACATTTTATTTTACTTTAAAATATCACCAATGTTCCTAGTATAACACCCCCACATATTCAAAAGAAATAATCGGTGAAGGGAGGAAGTGTTTGGTACGGAAAAACCCTGGGGCCATGCTAAAAAAAAATATGAAACATAATTATGTGCTTAAAAGTCAGAATTCTGAGATTGAAAGTCAGAATTCTGAGATTAAAAGTCAGAATTGTAACTTTTATTCTCAGAATTTTTACTTTTAAACTCAGAATTCTGACTTCCAAACACAGAATTCTGACTTTCAAACACAAAATTTTGACTTTTAAACACAGAATTATGTTTCATATTTTTTTTAGCCTGGTCCCAGGGCTCTTCCATAGTTTGGGAACTCAGAGCATTTTGTCTATTTTTCCATGAACAAAAAAATTGCAGCATAAACTCACACCAGAAACTAAATAGTTGCAATGGTTGTTTTAGGAACAGGTTAGTGAAGTTTGATTTTTATCCAGTAATTATTATTGATGCTGTGCTGCCATCATGTGGTCATGTGTGTTACTAATACTTCTACACGCACAAAGGTTTTCAGAAAAGCAATTATTTTTATAATACAATAAGCCTGTCAGATGACGGTCTAAATTAAACTGATTTCAATTATTACATAATCTGAGGCCTGGTAAATTATTTGATGAACAGCACAGGAAGAACATAGCAAACATTTGACAATGACAGTTGCAAATTCTTTTGAGTCTGTTCAAACACAATTATTCTCATAATTGTTCAGTTTGTTAGATTAGCAATGTAACTATGCAGTAACAGAATTCACTTTTTTTAAAGACTAACAACATTTCTAGTAGGCTTACATGCATTGAGTACTCTGGATTACACACTGTGTATGTGCAAAAATCTCTACTGAACTCTCAATACCGCTGCAAATCTATTAATTATCACACTGTGCAACCTATAAATAAAGGCACAGCCAGACATGCCCCGTGACTTTAACATATCATGACCTCACAATGCGTGAGCAGTGCTGGTTGGCAAAAAGAAGCCTTGCCAGCCAACCCTGCTCAGATGGACAGCTTACAGCAGTGTGGCTGACATGGTGGATATCAGTTTCTGCAAGAACGTTGCTAAAACTAATCCTGTACAAGTAGGTAGATGCACCATGAAACGCGTCAATAGTGTGCACGTTAATTCTAAATTGATCCTATCAAGATCCAAGCATCATTTTTCAGGTTCTGCCAAATCTCTCTAAAGGGGGTAACTTTCTTTCCCTCATTCCAGATGAAGAATGTGCTGTGCTGAAACAGGACACATCACCAGCCCACTGACATCAATGCAATAATAATGATATATTAGGCCACTAGTCATCAATGTATATAACAATACTGCAGTGTCTGATTAATTGCAATGAGGCCTCTCCTAAGACCCACTTACAAACTAATGTTGTTCAAAGATTTAGATTGTTACACATCTGCATAAAATGTTAATGACCAACTTAACACCCAACTCCCTCCAAAATCTTTAGCTTCTGCAGAAGGGGAGGGTTAGAACCTCTGTCAAGGTTGCCCCGTTGTCTGTATTCCTGTTGGAGAGATATTATCTCACTTTCTGTCCTGATCGTAGGGTGTCAGAAGAACAAGAAGGGGTGGAATACTCTCTGATAGGGACAGAGACCACATTTATTCAGGAGAGTGGGGAGGGGTAAAACATGTCAGGTTTCAGGTATTTATTGCTCTGTCTCCCTGTCCCAATACCACTTGAACCCTGCTATTTCTATTTCCTCTCATGCGCTTTTCCTGGTGTCACTGGGAGAGGAAGTGAAGGGAGATCTCACTAATTAATTTACTAATCTCAATACATGTCCTGTCTCTAGGTTTCTAAAAACAGAGCTGCTTCCTAGTTCATAGTAGATGAGGCAGATTTGTTTTCAGGATCTTTTATGAAACAGGATTTTGTAAAATGAACTTTACCTGTTAAGATTTGCAATTCATAATCAGTCTCCCCAGCATGTTCCCTTTTTTCAAATGGAAGTTTTCCAACATCTGCTAACTGGTATACAAAATCAGAGTGGCTTGTTGAAGGAACACTCAACTCTGGAGCTTTTGATGTATTTAAAGTAGTATAACTGTCATTCAATGAAGGTAATAACGTTCCAAAATCATGCACAAGAGCATCTTCCACTTTTGCATATGCTCTGTTAACTTCTCTGGTTTGGGGAGAAGGTGAAAGGATATATTCCAGAGGATGGCCAGAGGTAGAAGTTGTTGCCGGAATGAGAGATGAATCAGTTACAGTAGCAGATGTTGAAGTCTTGCTAACAGAAAACCTCTGATGTGACCAGCTTGAGGTAGGATGGCTTTTTGTATCATTAATACTATCTGAAGTGGGAGCTGGTGGACCAGGAACTGAAGGCGATACAGAAACACCAGAAGAAGTAGAAGACATGTGAACATGATCTTTGAAATTAACAGAGTTCTTTATTCCACCAGGAGGCAGAGAATGGGATTGTATGTATGGCACAATATTTGAATTTAGTTTATGTTGTACAGCAGACCCTGATTCTGAGTGGAAGACATGATCTTGGGGAACAGAACTAGAGATGGGAGAGGATGAGACTGTAGTAACTAAATTCCTTCTCGTAAGCAGCTTTTGTGATAAAGATAGACTGAGAAATACTGGAGATTTAGTGGCACTCAGTATCTTCAGTGGAACGTTGACTTGTCCAGCATCTTGCTGGGAATATTGTAGCTGCTTAGTGCTGAAAGGTTCTGAAACTTCTGTGAAAGACACAAATACAATTTATGGTGAGATTTAGATGAAGATTTTTTATGAGTGTCTTGTAAGTATAATAGACATACCATTCAGACAGTCCTGAGTCTTCTGCTCACAAGGAGTACAGGAGCCTTCCCTCTGTTCACATTGCACATCCCCGGCCTATGGAAAGAAGAATTTTGGACATCTAAAGCTATGCTTACTTGGGACAAAAAATGAACTTGCAAGCATATCTTTACCAACTTAATTGTTTTGAGTCATATGGATTGTGCTGCTTTGTAATATCCACAGATTGCCCCTTTCATCTTTATTGGTGTGATTTAGAGACCCTGACACAAGGCCATTTCAACCAAAAACTTTCCATATGAATATATCTGCATTTAACATTAGGGATGTTCAGATACCAAGTATATGTGCAGATACTTTTTCAGCTCCAAGGCTAGACTAGAGAAAAATTCAAAATTTAGGAGGCAGCTTTCATTTTTAAGGAGCATACGGAGCTCCTGGGATTTGTGTTTTTTTGTATGATTTTTTAAAATAAATATATAAAAGGGATGCACTGATAAAAAAATTTCAAGTACTGATACTTATCCAAGTACTCACAGATACAAGTACTGATACATTTTTGTTTATTGACATGTGACAGTTTTTCTAAATCAATACAGACAAATAATTTCAGGACAGTGGTGGAGTGCCAGAGCCAGGTCCCAGCTGCAACCGCTGCAACCCTGGTAGTTCTTGTGAAAATGCCAAGTAAAGCGCTGCAAAAAACTGTTGGCGCTATATAAATCCTGTATAATAATAATAAAAGTATCGGCACTGGTATCTGAACATCCCTATATAGCATATTTTACATGTAAAAGCCTCCTTTGTGTAGACATCCAAAAACCCTGAGATTTCTGCTGAGTACCACCATATTGGATGTAGTGTCAGCAGCCCCAGCAGGCTCAGAGATGTCACTCAAGTTACTCTCTATAATATTTCCCTTTGCTCATCCTCTGGCAGCTACATAAAATAGGTGACGGGAGCGGTTGATGAGCTGGGACAGAGTGTAATTAGACACTCCTAGAAGAGAAGAGAGCTATGACGTGCAAGGAGGGAGTGGGCTGTCTAGTCAACTGACTATTACCGGAGTAGGCAACTTTTCTGGCAACCTCAAAAGCACATTGCATGTGAATTAAAAACAAATGATGGAAAGAAAACACACTGAAAGTAAATATTTAAAATACACGAGTTCTCAGTTCTTTTAAATGAAATGTTTTAAGTTGGTGACTGTCTTTTTAATGCAGGTTAACATTTTCAGGGAAACATAGTGTGAAGCACAACAAAAATACAACTGCTGAGATCATAATCATACAGATACTAGACATGTGCGATTCGTTTCGTTACAAATCGAAATTCGTACGAATTTTCCTGAAATTCCGAATTTCGGAGCATCCGAAATCCGAATGGCAGTTTCCGAATTATATCCGAAATGCGAAATTCCGTTAACGAATTTCAGATCCGAATTTCTTTGAAACAGGAACTAATATTACCCCTGTAAATGAGGTTGAACAACATGACAAGATTTTTTTTTAATCCGAGATACGGATCCGCTGCTGCTGATGCATTACAATACACAGTTACACACACAGGCAGGAAATACGAAATTCCGTTGACGGATTTTCGTTCCGTTACGAACATTCGTTACATTGAAGGTAAAAAGCAAAGTACATTTATATTGGAGTTGATGGTAGTTTTTTTTAAAGTCCGAAATACGGAATTCGGAATCCGTTAACGCCACTAACGAAAATTCGTATTTCGTACGAATCCGAATCCGAATTGAGTTCAGTTACGAATTACGAAATACGAAATACCGGATATTCCGAAACGAAACAGAACAAATTTTTTGACGGCGCACAAGTCTAACAGATACTTAAATTTCTCATCTATAATTGTAATTTTACTGTCTCAGTAGTGTACCTAAGCACACTATTTGAGCAAGTTTAATGAATTTCAGCTTTCAATGCTTGCAAAGTTTATTGAATTCTATAGGAAATGGCCAGCACTGCGCCCAAGGGTTTGGAACGTTGCATTGTGACTTGAGGTGCTGGAACATAGGTCCAGTTTTTAAACAATCTGTTGGAATCTATATATAGTGAAGGGAATTTATCAAAACTGGAGCCGAAAAAATCTGGAGCAGCTGTGCATGGCAACCAATAAACTTCTCTCTTTCATTTTCAAAACTTAACTGAAAAAACTGAAGAGAGAAGCTGATTGGTTACCATGCACAGCTGCTCCAGATTTTGCCTGCTCCAGATTTGATAAATTCCCCTCCGTATACTTCTCATGTTGAGTTGGAGGGGTATTCTTTGGGTCCTCCAAACTCCTCCTACAATCCAAAGGTTTTTCTCCAGGATAAATTGGACATATTTTGTGTACCTGTATTATTGTAGTATATTATGTTGATGGGCATATAAATCTGGAAAATAAACAATAGAGTGGTCCAGCTATAGTCATCACTCACAACCAATGCTGGTGTTCACTGGCTGGCATATTCCATAAATGGTTCATGGAAGTGTCAGCCAAGCCTTGTGTTTCTGTAAGGCAGATGTCACTTCTATTCAGGAAAAGAAACAAAATGTAAACCACTTACATAACAATGACACACAACACAAGGGTCCGTCTTCAAGATGTATGACCCTCCATTCTCCAACACATGTCCTTCAGAGGCACATTCTGATATGGAGACATGTAAAAGAATAACAGTTATTTATCAGGTGGTTACAGGTTCTCATTTATCCAAGTCATGGTATAGCTAGCAGTAGTGAGTCACATTCAACTGGACTTGTTCTCTAATGTTGAAGGACGTTACGTAACTCATCAAAGTAGCTTCTTTAGCTCTAATTAAACTGAACAAGCTACTCGGATAAGTGGCAAAACATCCATCAACATTACAAAACAAATCCATTTGAATGTCACTAACTACTACTTGCTATAATTAGTATAATTAGTATAATTACTGTTATTAATATTATCATCATACAGGGTTTATAAAGTGCCAACAGTTTGCACATCATATTACAAATAAAATCAATAATAAAGTTACAAAACAATTTGGGACAATAATTAGGAGGTTGCTATAGATCTTATACAGCAGTATAAAATGTTCATAGGCGAATAATTCACATTACATGTAAAATAAATGTGGAATGGAACTTAGAAAACTGCACAACAAGAAAATAATGATGGTTGGAAATGGTACCTTCACATGAAGCACAACATTCTCCAGGAAAAATATATGGGTGAGAGCAGGTAGCAGAGCAGAAGATGGCTTCACATTGCACTTCTCCATCCTGGTAACATACATGAGAAGTTAACTTAATATCTATAGTACAGACTCTTCTTTACAACGATGCCTCAACACATAAAACAATATACTGAGTGCTTATCATGGCCTGTACTAAAGTATAATATTCACATCTTATTTATAGCCTGATCAAAAATTTGCTGTTGGTTTCAAAATGTAATGGTTGCCACAGGTGGTCTGCGTGTATACAATGAAAGCCTATAGGGCTATTTCTGTAGTAACTGGTAGATTCAGAATATACCAGGAACCGAAAGAGAGCACATGAATTGGAAGCAATGAGCTAGGGGTAGTGCTGCAACTTCACTACAGTTTTATGGAGATACATACAGTAACTCAGAAAGGACAGCACTGGACTAAGTGTAATTAACGTAAAGCTTTATACTCTACTCCACTGTCCTCTGTAGTTAGGATTTCTGGAGATTTCCTTAATACCCACAGAACAGAAGCTGGTAAGTATCTACAAATAAGTTTACTAAAATTGTAGGGCTGGGAAAATGAACGATTAATTACCTGATTAATCGTTAAAATTTTTGATCGACTAAAATTATTTTGATCAGTAATGAAAACACTCACCTCTCCGCCGGCTTCCGGGTCTTCCCGGGAGTTCCGTCGGAGATCCGGTGACTCTATCATGAATCGAAATTAATCGATTTTAAAAAATTTTGATTAATCGAACACTAAAATTTAATCAGTACTAGCCTATACATTTAAAAAACTATAGAAATAAAAAAATACTATTTAAAAAACTAGTGAATGCCACTTGGTTGATTTTGTAATTAATTATGTAAACCCTAAGGCAGAGGTAGCCAAACTCTGGCCCTCCAGCTGTGGTGAAATTACAAGTCCATTACAAATCCCATTATGCCTCTGTCTCTGGGAGTCATAGCATTGTGGGACTTGTAGTTCCACAACAGCTGGAGCCTACAGCCCGTGACACACTGTATACAAAGCCATGCAGAGAAAAGGAAAGCTGTCAGGCACAGAGGTTCACATGCAGTGTGTGAGCTGAGCGCGGCCAGAGGAAGGACTGCATCTTCAGCCAATCGCCTTACACGTAACAACCGAATGGACTTCGCAACGTGACGCGCAGGTTTATAACCGCAGGCCGATTGGGTGAAGATGAGATTTTTCATCTCAGCACGCTCGGCTATTCAAGCTCTCGCAAGCTGATGTGCCGGAGTGAAAATTACATGATACACTGCATGAGAAGGTCCACGCACCACCGCTCCGGCTGCTTCGCGTGCAGTGTGTCACAGCCTTAAGTTTGGCTAAGTCCTTAAGGCAGATGTGGGCAACTCTGGCCCACCCAGGGGCGGATCCAGAGTCCAATCCCTTTCCTCTCTCACTGCCCCCCGGCTCTTCCACGGGGTACAACGCACTCACCTGGCCTCTCCTTCTGGGATATTTCCGCCGCTGCCAGCCTTGGGTGGTCTGTACTCACACAAATTAGGCAGCTGCAAAGCCCCTGTGTGGGCCGAGACGGCCGCCTAATTTGCCTGACTACCGATTGTTCAGAGCGGCCGGCCAGGCCCAGCAGAGGGGTGGAGGGAGCGATAATAATAAACGCAGAGTGCTGAGGTCAGTAATGTAACGCAGACTGCGGAGGCCAGCAATGTGACGCAGTGCGAAGGTCAGTAATGTGACGCAGTGCGGAGGTCAGTAATGTGACGCAGTGCAGAGGTCAGTAATGTGACGCAGTGTGGAGGTCACGGGTGTAAGATAGAAAAGGTACTTACAGTGGTGATGTGCTCCGTCCTCATGCCCTCTTATTCCTCTCCGGGTGATGGTGGGGTGAGGGGCAAGCATCACTGTCTGTGAAGCTTCTCCTTGTCCCTTGCA